TGCTTCGACGTCGAAGAGACTGACGCCTCTCTCGATCCCTGGAACTCCTACCCCCTGTGCGCGAAAGGTCACCACCTCGATGCATGTCTCCACCCAGCTCAACTAGCGTCTTCGCTTGTTCTCTGCTATTAAAGAAAAGTCTGTTCGACATTCACACGATCCTTTCAAAAGCTGGAGTCAGTTGTTCACTATATTCATAAAAGTTGTACCCTTAACCATTTATCCTTTACAAAGGCAGCACCCTCGAGGCAATTTCATTAATTGTGAAAACCTCAATCGCCCAGCGCCGACTGGATAGACCCGCCGGCGCCCGAATGATCATGCCCCGCTTGGGGCAAGGGCGTGATAGATTTATCAATCCTTTCGGCTTTGGTGCCCCAGTTGGCTCATGAATCGACTTCAGAATGATCATGCCCCACCTGGGGCAAGGGCGTGATAGATTTATCAATCCTTTCGGCTTACGTGCCCCAGCCGGCTCATAAATCGACAATAAAACTAAGTTCGCCTCCTCCGGCGCCCGAATGATCATGCCCCGCCTGGGCAAGGGCGTGATAGATTTATGAATCCTTTCGGCTTAGGTGCCCCAGTCGGCTTACGAATCGACTTCCGAATGATCATGCCCCGCCTGGGGCAAGGGCGTGATAGATTTATCAATCTTTTCGGCTTAGGTGCCCCAGTCGGCTCACGAATCGACTTCAAAATGATCATGCCCCGCCTAGGGCAAGGGCGTGATAGATTTCTCAATCCTTTCAGCTTACGTGCCCCAGCCGACTCATGAATCGACTGCAGAATGATCATGCCCTGCCTGGGGCAAAGGCGTGATAGATTAATCAATCCATTCGGCTTAGATGCCCCAGTCAGCTCACGAATCGACTTCAGAATGATCGTGCCCCACCTGTGGCAAGGGCGTGATAGATTTATCAATCCTTTCAGCTTACGTGCCCCAGCCGGCTCATGAATCGACTTCAGAATGATCATGCCCCGCCTAGGGCAAATGCGTGATAGATTAATCAATCCATTCAGCTTAGATGCCCCAACCGGCTCATGAATCGACTTCAGAATGATCATGCCCCACCTGGGGCAAGGGCGTGATAGATTTATCAATACATTCAGCTTAAGTGCCCCAGTCGGCCCATGAATCGACAACAAAACTAAGCTCGCCTCCTCCGGCGCCCGAATGATCATGCACCGCCTGGGGCAAGGGCAGATTAATCATGATATTCAATCATAGAAAGGTCAACAGAGTAGTCATTCTAACTAAAGTAGTGAAAGGCAAACATTCTACACCAACATAACATCACAAACTGTGCATTAGTAGTGACACAAGAAGATAATTTTCATTAATAAATTGAGCGCAGACAATAGCCAATTTATACATGAAAACTACTTGGAACCAACAAAAGTCCTAAAAACAAAAACATACATTAAAAGGGAAAGTATTTCATAAAATTCGACTGACTCCCAGATCAATCCTCGGGGTCAGACTCAAGTGGCTCAACGTCCACCTGCTCATAAGGAATTGGTAAGGCCAATGTAACCCCAGCGGCATCAAGGGCCTTGAGCCACCCGTGTTTGAACCCCTGATTCTCAAACTTGGGGACTTCATCTACGTATTCTTTGAAGGCGGCCAAGGAAAAGGCAGAATCTGAGGCTTCTGGGCTAGCCTAAGCGATTCTTTGCTCACGTTCGCCCTATCTTCGGCGTCAGAACGGTGCTGATCGGTAGCTCAAGCCCTTTCCACTTCAGCTTCGGCTCGCGTAGTCTCCATAGCAGCCCTCATCATCTCAAACTCGGCCCTGCTCTTTTGATTGACCACTTCTGACTGCAAACGGTCAATCCTCTCAAGGCCATCGTGTAGGCGGCGGCCCAAGTCGACGATCCTGTCGACCGTCTGCAAAACGAGTTGGGATCGTTAGATGCCATAGGCAACCAAAATCAAAACAAGTCAAAGTTCACCTACCAAAAGGGCCGACTGCGCAGATAGGCCTATGGCCACCAAATCCGGCACGGCATGAAAGGATGCCTTATCAACTGGTAGGGAGACTGACGCCGCCAGGGTCAAGGCTACTGCCGGGTCGGAAATGATGGATACGTCAGAAGGAATCAGCGTGTCTCTAATCTTTGGCTGAACAATGAAAGGAACAACCATGTCCAATTCTTCTAAGCGAGGCCTTTTGTCGGCAAGACTATCTTCTGAACCGGCCTCTCCCTTGGCGCTACGCTTCTTGCCCCGCTCTCTTTTTGGAATCAACTGTTCATCAATGACCGGTTGTTCAACCTCTTTCGCCATTTCGGCCGCAACAATCTTAGCCGGCTCTTCAATAACGGGTTCAGAAGACTCGACCAAGGTAGGTCCAGAACGGGCGGCCTCAGCCTTTTTCCGGGCGGCCATACGCTCGACATTTTTCTTTCGAGCCATCTGCGTGAGGCTTTCCCCAACCATACCTTCAAAAAAATTGCTGGGTAAGCCTCCCAAACCTCCAAAAATATCTCCAAAAGAAAACTCTGCCCGACCCGAAGTGGATGGTGAGGTAGGCTGACTACATCTGGCTGCCTCAAATGCCGAGTTTAGGGCCTCGTCAACCTCTTCGGCCTCCTCAGCGAACTCTCTGTCTGGTTCGACGACTACCTCTACCACCAGCTCCACGTCTTGCCCCGAGTTAGAGGCTTCGAGACCAACTTGTCTGAGACTCTTGAAGCTGGGGAAGATAAGAGCCGCAAGCTGTTGATCGCCGGATGGAATTGGAATATTGTTGGCGGCCAAAAAAGTAGTGTAAGTAGGCTCGTATCGAAGAAGTATGTGGGCCGCTCTCCCTTACTTCTGTAAGTTTGGATGGCCGAAGTATCTGAGTGTAGTAGCAACCTGGACAAGGACCGCGTCGTTGGTAGAAACCAGAATCTTCTTCAAATTACTGCCTGCAAAGGCAAGGGGTTAGACACATTGGGAAAGCCGAGTAAAAGAAAAGTTCAGTAAAACACAAGGAGACACACAGCAACCCGGTTCACCCCTCCGTCTGGGAATAGGGTCTAGGCAATCCTCGCCTTTGCCAAATTCCCAGTTCCCTCGGATATTGACCATTACGTCATCCATACACTTGCCAGAACTGGCGAGCATGGTTACCAAATGATGGTCTGTATCCTTGGCCCTAAGAAAGTACTGCCCAACCGACCGGAAGATTTGGCTAAAGCATAGCAGTGCCGAATGGCCGGAATCCCAAGATCGATCCTGAGGCGCCGGTTCGACTCTACGATCCCCATTACGATTTGAAAAAAGTTCACGTTGGGCTGAGAAGGAATCAGACCCCAATAACGGAGGACGGCCCTAAGGAATGGATGTAAGGGAAAGTAGACCCCGCCTTTTGCAGTGGATACGAGAGGAAAGACGATTGAATTTTCATCCTCTCTCTCCATATCCAGAGTGTTGTCTGTCACTAGAGATAGATGAACATCGTCGGGGATGGAAAAGTATCGCCGGAATCCGGAGACACGACCCTCAGTAAGGAGGTCTTTCATGTGTTTGGCCATTTTCACGGGGAATAAAGGGTTCACCAAAATGAAAATAATAAACAAAAAGTAAGATTGCAAAGAAAAGAGAGGAAGACTTACGAGGAGCAAGGGAGACGAGGGTAGATAGAGAAGAGTTGCAGAGAATGCGAGTCAGAGAAGGGATATACGTTGGCGGTCCAAGAGTCTCGAATAATCGACGAACTGTACATTCGAAAGGACTGAAATTTCAAATCACAATAAATGCGAGACGCACGATTGAGGGTGGAAAGCGCAATGATGAACGAAAAGGTGTGCGCATCCTGACATCTATATTGGGGTACGCGAAGCTGCCTGACCTATTTTAACCTTTCTAATTCAAGACCAAACACGCCGATTAACTTCCATCAATAGGGAGTTCGGGGGGAAATTGTGGGGGCCGAATATATGAAAAGATCAGATGGTGTGTACCATTGGAAGACTGATATTAATCGGCTATATCCTATGAGAGCGGGGAGCCGAATATAATATATTTGCCGAATAAGTATAAGTCCTTAGGGCCGAATAAAAGAAAGGACAATGATTGAAAAGTAGGCCCTGGCCCCGAGGATAAAAAAGAACATGTATAAATACAGGAACAACGGTTATAGAAAGGAATGTAAGAATCACTTCACAGAAACTTAGTAAACAAGCTATCCTGAGTGTCTGAACTAACTTATCCGTCGGAGTGCTAATCCCGGCACCCCCGACCGGAGTGTTTGTATTTTTTTAGGTGACCAGCTGAGGATCACTAGCGTCTCCCAAGATCTGAAGAGTATTTCCAAACCACTTCTCAACAAAAACCACTGCAGCCTGAATTTCATCGGTCCTTCCTAGTTTTACAACTACCACCCGAGTCAAACGCAAAAAATAACCCATAATCTTAGCAGCCGAGTCCATGACTCGTCGGTGAAGAGAAGTCCAGTTCAAATATGTCCAATTTCACAGCTTATTTCATGTAAAAAGCAATATAAATATCTTACCACCCTAGCAAAAACCTGCAGCCCCTATTGAAGTGACTCCTTTGCTTCGTAAAGTAGAAATTACAGGCTTGGCATCTTCAAACCCTTTATCCTGGAACGCAGAAAGTTCACATTAACATAGCTAATTGAATTGTTGCAGAAAAAATTCGTTCTTTCCAAACCTCTTGTCTTTTAATAGGATCATCAATATGCTTCTCATAACATTTTAGTGATGAATCTATCCGCCTAAAGTTGATCTTCATTGTTTTATTTTTTTCTATTTACTTAACTTTTTTTTTAATTTTATTTTAATCATGTCAAAAAATTTTGGTTTTAGTCCTATCTCAATTGGACAGCCCTGAAAATTTTAAAAATTATACATGATGACAATTTGGAACCTTGTGATGTTGAAATAGAGAAAAACTGCGTGCGCTATCACTTCTTTAATCTTTGAAACTAGCATGCCAATTTTGATGACCAACGTTTAGATAAAGGGTAGGGAAACCAGAAACTAACCACGCCATGAGCCTTTTTCCATGATTCCCGGTCCATATTAGGGTTATTAAGATCAAAAGGTTCACAATAGAAGAAATCAGGAACCACTACTAGAAATCCCTCGGCTACCACTTTGTCTGCAAGTTTCCTTTAAAATGATAAAATGCAAAATGTTACTTCAACTAAATTACAAGAGATAATGACGCAATTAGTGACAAAATAAGAGAAAATAAAAGGAGAGGAAAAGGGAAGGAAAGAGGGGACAAAATAACCAATCATTTCCCCTTGTTTGGTTGAGAAGAAAGTGGGACAAAAACTAAAAGAAAAAAATGTAGTTTATTGACTCTTAGCATTATTTGTTGCACTTTAATCTAAATTTAAATTTTCCTCCATAGTTGCTTGTGTAATGAAGATTTTTACTTATCAGAGAGAGAGAGAGAGAGAGAGAGAGGGGGGAGGGGAGAGTGAAGATAAAATATTTAAAAACTTTCCTTCATTTTTCTTCTATTTTCTCTCCAATTAAGTCAACCAAACAAAAGAAAATAAAAACTTTTTGAATCTCTTCATTATCTTCCCTTTTTTCTCTTCAACCAAACACACCACTGAGAATTAAAATAGATAATCACCATGGTTCCTCAGAATGCTACCCAGGTTTTACAATATTATTATTTCAATTGGCCAAAATTGCAGCATTCCAGCACCAGATTTGAGAAAGCTGTTAGCAAACTAAATTCCTCATCTCCTTTTAATCCCTTAACAGTTCCCTAATGTTTCAAAATATAGATGAGACATCATAACCAGTTATACTAGTAACCAATTTAAGTTCCAACTCAATTGCTCAGTTTCAGTCCATACATGCAAACTATTTCCAGAACCTTGACCTTTGATTTCGCCCTCTAAGTCCAATGTCACAATTTAATCAAAAGATTTTTTTTCCCCATATACTAGCTCTTAATCAAGAAATAAGAGACAAAATTTATCTATAATAAAATGAATATACACAACTTCTATGTATGCATATTAGTTAATGTTGGACTATACATAACCAGGGATTGGTTAAAATGTATAAATAGTCTTTAACCTAAATATGGACCTAATTACATTCTTTCTCCATGATCAGAACAAAGGCTTGCAATGCCATGCAAGCACCCTTATTGCATGCAGATACATTGTTATGTACACTTCCTACATCAAAATCACATTACACTAGAATGCAATTTCAGAGACTCCGTGACTTGTCTATTTTGCACAGATTACTTATAATAAATAAATAAACAAATAAAGGTGCATGATCATGAAAATGCCAAGCTATAAGTGGAGCTTGAACAAGTTGATTGAATGAATTGATGTCTTGAAGTCAAAAGGATTAAAAAAATAAAATATGAACACCAACAGGTCCAACACCAAATCTCAAAACAAAAACTTTCTTAGGTAGTATCTGATGATCTGTGGGTAAATATGCAAGTTAAAGACAACACCAACTACAATATTTTACTAACAACAGATATTAGTAACAATTCAGCATACCTCAGATTTGGAGCTTCATATCCTACAAAACAATTTAAGAAAGCAAAACAACTAAAGCTTAGTTTGTGAAAGAACATTGAGAACTCAAAACATATATCATAATGCAAACTTTTAAATTTTCATGGGAATCATCTTCTGCATTCGCATGTGACTTCCTACCTAGAGATGCAAAGACCAGAACAAGGTCGATTCATAGAACAATATTCATATTGTTTGGAACCATTACCATTATGTGTCCTAATACTGCGATTTAAAACCCTAGTGATAAATGATTTTAAAAACATGAAAACCTGAAGTTCATCATGCTCTTGAACTTATAAGTTCTCACTAGACTAGAAGATAGGGTGTTAAATGCTTCTAATTTAACATAATGCAATAAGAAGGAAAATTCATATTCCAACTCTGGCTTTTCACACAGAACCAATAACAAGTTATACCTGGCATTTTATCTCTATCAGAACCTTCAAGGACTTCCAGGTAGTGAACAAATGAGGGAACAACTATATCGAGCTTTCCGTCATTGAGATATAAAATATGAATACAGCATAAAACATGTTGTCCACCACAAATATTAAAATCATTAGGCAAAAAATAAAGCATGTGCCGTACAAATCCTTGATATCAAAGAATAACAGTTACTAGATATTTTATTTCATTTTTGAAGTTTCTAGACATTGAAGGTTTCTCTGCTGAATACACTCATTTCGGATGGTATTTGATTGTGAAACTTGGGAAAACTGTGTTGTCAGTTAAAAGCAGGATTTGGGAAAGGGGTCAAATGCACGATGTGTGGAGAGGCTCTTTCTACATTTCAAACCCACAATTTTGTTTTGTCATTAAGCTACAGAAAAAAATAATCTGTTTATTTTTTTCTTGGGTTAAAGTTTAATTTTAAAAAATTGCTTTATATTAATTCCAATGGGTAACATCAAAGTTTGGCTTCCTTTCCTGGAGTGTTTTCAAGGAAATTTCGAGCAATACTCTTAAAACAAAGCGAAGAGAAAAACGATTAATTAAAATGAAATATGTCACATGAATTTAAAACCAAAATTGGCGGCATAAAATACTTTAAAGGAAAGCTTCTTCTTTTTTTTTTCACCTGTTTATATCAGCAATCAAGGGGGTAGCATATACACTAGAACTAGCTTCTGTCTGCCATCTCAGCTCTAAATGTTGAGGACACTGAGTATTCAACAATTCATCTTCATCCCTACACACACCCATAAGAAAAGTAAATACACAATCATCCTTTGAAGCTACTGATTCTATATCTCAAGAGAGCAACACAGTAAGAACAATCAATTCTGCTTCACTTTACCACGAATCTCATCGAAGTTCACTGAAAAAACAACTGAGAAATAGTACATAAATATATACAGCTTGTTAATTGTCATCTAATTCTACTAACACCACATTTCAAATCTAAGAACCTCAAATTCAATTGCTTAGGCGAATCTAAACCAACTTGGAGCAACAAATATGGGTCCATCTAACACAGGAAATAATATGAGAGGAGAGTTAGGTGTACCTCAAGGCTGAACCTAGAGCTGGACTGAACCAACAAATCTGGTGCAGAGTTTTGATTAGAGAAGATCGAGGGGTCGATTGAATAGAAATGGAGAGAAAAATTAGGGCAAAGATGAACTGTCAATCTTCCGATTTCGTTTCTGACGCATTGATGTACATCGCCACCTAATCTTTCTCATCGCAATCAACCCGTTCGAGATTGCCGTTCTGACGAGTCCGACAGTAGCCCTTTGTAGACAAAGGTTCTAAAACAGTTAAGGGGAGTTTAGGGCCTGGATTCGAAATTATGGCTTGTGGAGGGATTGGAGAAGATAGAAGGTAGGGTTAGGATTTTGGAACCGATGACGAGAGTGGAGAATACGCAGTAGACGACCAGTGAAGAGCATAGGAGAAGAGAGAGAGGGCGGCGAGGGAGGAGGCGGTGGCGGTGGCGGCGGCAGTGGTAGCGCCAACAGTATTGAACACACTCCATCTCCAGCTCCATCTCGATCTCCTTCTCCTTCTCTTTCTCTCTCTCGTATGTGCGTTTGTGATGAACCTTGGAACCGATGACGAGAGTGGAGAATACGCAGTAGATGACCAGTGAAGAGCATAGGAGAAGAGAGAGAGGGCGGCGAGGGAGGAGGCGGTGGCGGTGGCGGCGGCAGTGGTAGCGCCAACAGTATTGAACACACTCCATCTCCAGCTCCATCTCGATCTCCTTCTCCTTCTCTTTCTCTCTCTCGTATGTGCGTTTGTGATGAACCCTAGCTTTTTATTACAAGTAGCCAAAGAGGCAAATGTATTTTGATTTTTTTTTTTTTTGTTTAAATTTGTGTTTTGGTGTTGGGGCTTCTTTTTTTTTAAAAAAAGAAAAGAAAATTAGGAATTGTATATTTTATATAAAAAACAATTTGGAATATTTTATACCAGGTAGTGTGAGATATATATATATATATAATCACACTTATTTAAAAAGTGTGATTAAAAAGTAGTAATGTATATATAATCACACTTTAATTAGAAAGTGTGATTAAAAAATTATAGATAATCACACTTTAATTAGAATGTGTGATTAAAAAGTAATAGTGTATATATAATCACACTTCAATTAGAAGGTGTGATTAAAAAATATATAAATAATCACACTTTAATTAGAATGTGTGATTAAAAAATATATATATAATCACACTTATTTAGAAAGTGTGATTAAAAAGTAGTAGTATATATATAATCACGCTTTAATGAGAAGGTGTGATTAAAAAAAATATATATATAATCACACTTAATTGAAAAGTGACATAAAAAATAAATATTATCAGACTTAATCAAATTAAGTGTGATTAAAATATCAATCTAAATTTTTTTTATCACATTTTCAATAAAAGTGAGATATTTTTTTGGTCAAAGTGTGATCTTTAACTATTTTTGTAATAGTGATGATTTTGCACTTGATTTCTGATTTTGTTTTTGAGTGGTTCCCTTTGCTCAAAATAATGGTTGTTATAGTTGTATTTATTGTTCAGATTTGGGCTTGTGATAACATGACCAAGTGTCTACGATGGTAGGTTTGCATAAATTTATAAGTTGTATGTTATTTGCTTTGGTATCACCGTAATTATTTGATTTGGAATATGGTTCTCCTCGTGTTATTATATTTAGAGGTGAAACTATGAAGACTTAAGGATATCGATTGGGATTCTTCTTCCCATTGTTCGGACCTTGTCAAGAATTAGTATATATGGTTTTGGAACAGTATAACGACATGACTTGATATGTATGTGGAAGTAGAGAAATGCTAGAAACTAATAATGAAGCTAGTGGCTACGTACCTAAGCAACTTATTTGTGACTGCTGGATTGGAATGTACCTTGCTTCTTAGGCAGAACCTTATTTGGTAGGTTTTGATGTCTGATTCAATTATGCATAACCAGATTTGAATCTAACCATGTAATTAATTTCTTTATTTTGGAACTGTGTTTGACCTGAGTAGACAACTCATCCCCGAGTAAATTGCACTAAAGATTTATCCAGGAAATTACTTAACTGGACGAGTTTAAACATGTACCTTCTAATGAAAATTGCTTATGCACTATTAATGTTGGGTCATTCAGGTTATGCCTATAGTAGAAAATGTTTATGTTCTTATGATCAAAATTAACGTATGCTGTGCGAACTTACGACTTATGTGCTTAGGAGGAAGCTATTTATTATGTTTTCGTATTTGAGGATGGTATGTTTCTGTATCTGAGAATTAATGCTATGAAATTTATTGGCAGGAAAATATTGTGATTATAAACTTAGCTGCGGATTTTATGATAATCCTATGAAACAAATATATGGAGCTGATGTTTTATTTCTACACACCTGAGACGTTAAAACCACTAGTTGAATAAAGCTATGAGATGCATATTATGTTGAGAACTTTTGGGCTAATTATGATAAACGTCGAATTAACCTATGAATGAGAAATCCAATGAGCAACTACAACCGAAGTAGACAGGGGTGTGAGACCGAAATTTGTGTTTTAATCTGTTACATGGTAGAGCAAGTTTGAGGGACCAAACTTATTAAGGGGGGGAGAGTGTAATAATCTGACCCTCGCACATGTTACTAGTATACTTTCAATCACTTATTCGGAGCAATTATATGTTTATTGTGAAATTTCATGTGGAATTAAGTTTAATTAAGTGAACCTTATGCCTAGAGATTTATATCTGTGTAATAAGAAAACATACCTGTCACAATTAAATGTTTGGACCGAGAATTGAAAGCCTTAAGAGCTTAATAATCTGAAATTGACCTTATATTTGAGATCAACATAATTTATAAGTCATAATAAGCATTTTTGTGAAAATTTGATTTGTGATGATCAAATTTATTAAATTTTGTCTTATTCAACTTTATATATATGTGTGTGTGCATACTTTAGCTCTTGGACTTAGAGCCTTATACATATTTCCTGAGAGAGAGAATTAGAAAGGAGGAGGATTTGTGAAGGAGTTCATCAAGGAGGATGATTGAGAAAATAAAAAGGGGGTTATAAAGATTATAACTTAAGGTATGTATAATTCATTCCAATTGGCCCCTCTCTTTGATAATTGAGTAGGAATTCCTTTATGTTATGCAAGTTAGGGTTTATATTATGGAACAAGTATGTGTTACATGATTAATTAGAATAATGTTCCTTGAGTTTGGTCGATTTGGGGTATCATTGAGTTATCTAATAGGAATCACATCTCATTTCTTGAAGATGGGAATATTATGAAGTTGGGTTGTGTTTGTGAGTTAAGATTAAAGATCCAAATTGTATGTAGTTTGATCTATGTTGTAGTTCTATTTACATGATTTTTGACCCATGTTTTAACAATTAAAAGATCTATTTTGAGCCTCAAGAATACTCATAAAAAATGAAGTTTTGCGGGAATTTCGAACTGCAATCTGCCAGAATCGCTGCACGTGCGGGGATCATTGTCGCACGTGCGGGAAGCCTTACCGCACGTGCAGGGCTCACAGCCGCACGTGCGGCCCATGTTGAAAATTTTCATCTGCTCCATTTTACGGGCTTAACCCTCTGGTATTTTTCAAATTTGTGTTTGATGTTCTGAAGATGCCTGTAAATTCGTTCGAAGTAAAATAAAGCAGGAAATGAATTAAGAAAGAAAAGGAAATAATGTATAAGTTGTGCATGTATGTAGGTCATAACCCGGGAGGGACAAGCAGTCCGCTACAGCACTGTGAGTAGTAGTACTTTTATTGAACATTTACTTACCGTTGATAATTCTTATTGTTATTAACATTCTGCTCCTTGCAAGTAGTTATGTTAACCTTATGCTGATTGGGAATCGGTGTGAACATTGAAAGATTTTGGCGTACATTGGTACGACTCTGAACCTACTCTGTGTTCCGGTTAAGGCTAATGATGATCGTTAATGTACCCCCTTGTAAAGTACCTATGGTTCCGTATAAGAATTGCATACGAACCATTAACACTGTGAAGTTGGTTAATAGAAAGAAAGTACCAATAACATTGTTATGTGACTCATCTTATAGTGCGAATTGTTCTGACTTATTAATGTAATGGTACCTTTACCTTCGGATTATCATTAATATTAACGTTCTGCTAATTACAAGACAAATATGTCGACTGACAATGAACCATGAGGAAATCTAAACACATCATTGAGTCATACGTTGTTTACTGTTGAAAGTTAATACTAACATTCTATTATCTGTGAGTTAGCAGTATTGATTCATGATAAGCAAATGGAATGTATGTACATTATGGAATTACGGTATTTATGCATCTCTGAAGTTGTTCCATTTGTTAATAATTATCATTATCACTCTGTTAAACGCAAACTAGTTATGTTAACTCGTGTGAATGATTGGAAGAATTTGTGTGCCTCTGTATAACTCTGAGACTAATAATATATGTGTCTTATGTTAATGTTCTGATGTACGTAAGATGATTATGTTAACTTGCAATAAACCATGAGGTTTCCGTTCTGTTTATTCGTTTTGTGACACGATATGAATTGTTCGGTCTTGAAGACCTAATATTTTCTGGTATGGAACAAAGTGTTGTACGGAACTAAGTGCTGCAATGCGAGTCACCTCTAGAATCTGTACGAGCCACCTCTTGAGTCCATACATATGTGAACTGGGCTTAAATCCGATGTGAAAGTTATGAGGCCTATGGCCGTT